TGCTAATTCCCTTCGACTTTGGGAGTTGTTTGACATCAAATGAGCCATATGAACATCTGCCCGTCTTAGCTGATCAATAGATAAATGCTTACCACATTTGGTGCCTTGCAACATAGCATTTGAAATACCAGTAATAATTGGCATTATTCTTATGTTCCCATCGGCTTTGGGGATTGTTTGATATCAATGAGCCATATGAACATCTGCGCGTCTTAGCTGATCAATAGACAAATGCTTACTACATTTGGTGCCTTGCAACATAGCGTTTGAAAAATACCAGTAATAATTGGCATGATTCTTATGTTCCCAGCGGCTTTGGGGATTGTTTGATATCAATGAGCCATATGAACATCTGCCCGTCTTAGCTGATCAATAGTTAAATGCTTACCACATTTGGTGCCTTGCAACATAGCATTTGAAATACCAGTAATAATTGGCATGGTTCTTATGTTCCCAGCGGCTTTGGGGATTGTTTGATATCAATGAGGCATATGAACATCTGCGCGTCTTAGCTGATCAATAGACAAATGCTTACTACATTTGGTGCCTTGCAACATAGCGTTTGAAAAATACCAGTAATAATTGGCATGATTCTTATGTTCCCAGCGGCTTTGGGGATTGTTTGATATCAATGAGGCATATGAACATCTGCGCGTCGCAGCTGATCAATAGACAAATGCTTACCACATTTGGTGCCTTGCAACATAGCATTTAAAATACCAGTAATAATTGGCATGATTCTTATGTTCCCATCGGCTTTGGGGATTGTTTGATATCAATGAGGCATATGAACATCTGCGCGTTTTAGATGATCAATAGACAAATGCTTACCACATTTGGTGCCTTGCAACATAGCGTTTGAAATACCAGTAATAATTGGCATGATTCTTATGTTCTCAGCGGCTTTGGGGATTGTTTGATATCAATGAGCCATATGAACATCTGCGCGTCGCAGCTGATCAATAGATAAATGCTTACCACATTTGGTGCCTTGCAACATAGCATTTAAAATACCAGTAATAATTGGCATGATTCTTATGTTCCCAGCGGCTTTGGGGATTGTTTGATATCAATGAGGCATATGAACATCTGCGCGTTTTAGCTGATCAATAGACAAATGCTTACCACATTTGGTGCCTTGCAACATAGCGTTTGAAATACCAGTAATAATTGGCATGATTCTTATGTTCTCAGCGGCTTTGGGGATTGTTTGATATCAATGAGCCATATGAACATCTGCGCGTCGCAGCTGATCAATAGATAAATGCTTACCACATTTGGTGCCTTGCAACATAGTGTTTGTAATACCAGTAATAAATCGCATGATTCTTTTATGCAGCCCAACCAATCGTATATCAGTAGAAGCTAAGCAAACATTGAACTAGAAGTTTGTTTGTATTGAACTAATTTTAAAACCGACACGTTCAATAATTGATTTACCGCGAGTCAATTAATTAAACAACCAATTTCATAGTAATATACGATCAGGCAATATTGATTATTCAAATATCCTTGTATGATTATTTTGAATGACTTCATTAGCTTATTATTATATTGGCTCAGTAATTTTAAAAGCCTAAAGGCAAACAATAGCATTAATTGAATTTTTGAAAACAGAAAAAAATCATGACATTACGGCAACATTAGCTAAAATAAATTCACTGTCAACAATAAAACCACTGCTACTGATATTTAATTAATAATAAATAGACAAAGAGTGAACAAATAGGTACATTTTTCTCCTCTAATTGTAATAATAAGGAGTTTTATATTTATTTTGTAATTAGTTTGGCATGTTTCTTTGTATGTAACATAAAATAAAAATACATTTTAATGATCGGCCATATTTTTATCCGTACTATCATAAAGTAAGGGTGGTATTCTTCGGAAGGTAGAACTGTCAATCAAGTCTTAGATATGCCGACATCAGATATGGCCACATTTATGTATATTCGGATTACCTATGGACTCCATTCACTGACTTACAGCAGGCTAAGCGAAAATCAACTCATTCAGCTGCAAATTAAAATAAATTATATGTTTGAGTGGTAATTATTTAAATTTAAAATAATTTAGCTAAATAAAACAATCATGGACAAAGAAAAAAAAACTTCTGTCAAATTATATACGAAAGAGGTTTTAATGTTTATCTAATGAAGATTGTAATGTAAGCATGCTCTGGCACTGATGGCCGACATCTGAAGTTGTATTTCAATATTCAGTGTTTGAAAGGCAGCGATCGTGATTGAATTAAATAAATCCACATTAACTTATATTAACAGATTGACGTATATTATTGGCACCACATTTTCATTAAGTGCCCGTTTGAAGGGCACGCAAACCGTTAATATATATTTTTTGTAGCGGTTAATTACGAAATGCCGTAGAGACTAGAATAGCACTTACAAAAACATCAAGAACTCTGGCATCTATACAAAATCTATTTCATATAAATGTAATTTTAGCTTTTATTGGTGAAAGGACATAGGTACCACCACCCTGACTTTTTTTTATTTTTTTATTGCTTAGATGGGTGGACGAGCTCACCTGGCGTTAAGTGGTTACTGGAACCCATAGACATCTACAACGTAAATGCGCCACTCACCTTGAGATATAAGTTCTAAGGTCTCAGTATAGTTACAACGGCTGCTCCATCCTTCAAACCGAAAAGCATTAGATGTCCTACCACCAGTAAAACCTGCTTCTGCTGAGTAGCAGTCTTGCGTTCGGATTCTAAAAATTGGAAAAGCCGGGTGAAATCTTATTCTACACGTATGTCTATGTGGCGGTCTAAACGGGTAGAATGGTAGATCCAAGAACCTTCTGTGAACTTTCTTAGTTAGTAAGGAGGCACCTTATTCTACGGCGACGGGGCAACGCAAAGCCGCCGTCTCCTGAAACACGTCTTGTCGGATCCCCGGATTCACTCTCGGTGCTTTTCGCCCTTTCAAGCACCGGTCACAGTTCTCGTCGATTACCATGAGTTCGACGAGTGAACTAACCCATAGACACAGCCCACTGAGTTTCTCGCCGGATCTTTTCAGTGGGTCGTGTTCCCGATTCGGTGGTAAATTCTACGAAGTGCTGCTCTTACTAGGGCCCTCTTTCTCCTCGCGTCGTTCTTACTGCTGAGGGTCGTGACCATTATATATCGACAGGATTTTGCTCCTTGTAATATCCCGTCAGCGCCTCCGATCATTGACCGCATAAAGGGCGTCGTGGAATGGGATCTCTAGGGGCAAGTGTTAGCAAATTTTCTTAGGTTGAGCCCGTGAACTGACCTACCCATCCAAGCATAGCTGGAATAGACTCTTAAGCTACCAAAGAATAGGTAGGGGGAAAAAAGGAGGTGGGAACCACGCACAGACAGCCTACTTGACTTCTTATCACACTTGGATGACCTTGAACTGGCCACCGTGCCGTTTATATTAATTTTAAATCTTACATAACAACAAATAAATTCAGGAAGTGAATGTATTCCTTAATATATAATATACTATTCACTTACATAAATGATTAATTTCGGTTATCTCTCGCAAATTTATGACGGATTAATTAGTGAATCTCGTATTACGAATGAATTATTCATAAATTAGAACTGTAAATTAAATGGGCGTATTTGAATTTAGTCTTTTAATTTATACTGTGCTGTGATGTAATTTTTTTGTTATGTTATGCTTTTCGTTCTCTTTCCACATTGAATGCCCCAAGCTAGGTGTTTCCCTCGTGTTTTATTGTCGCAACGCGTCCAGACACGAATATGTAGAACCCTAAAACTCAAAGATAAAACCATTTACTATCTATATATGTAAAAATGAATTGCTGTTCGTTAGTCTCGCTAAAACTCGAGAACGGCTGGACCGATTTGGCTAATTTTGGTCTTGAATTATTTGTGCAAGTCCAGAGAAGGTTTACAAGATAAATATGAAAATGCTCGGAATGAAATAAAAATAACAATTTTGTTTTACCTTTGATGTGTCCCCCGTCGTACGGATTCCTTTTGTTTGTTTTAAGTTTATTTTATACAAAAGTTTAGGTCTTTTATTTATTGATTGAGGCATTACGAAGTCTGCCGGGTCAGCTAGTTATAAATAAATAAAAGAACAAAAAAATTAACTATCATTTTTTGGACATGTCTCCCAGCGAGGAAATGACTCCATAGAGCGCCTCATCGTTCAGGGCAAAGTAGAAGGCACCAGACCGCGTGGAAGGTTGCCCATGCGATGCGTCCAAGTCAAGTCAGCAGTTGGCTGTTTGTATGAGTGTACCAGACTCACCACAAACCGGTAGGAGCGGCGATAGCTCGTGAGGCGCATAACATCTGCCCACAGCAATGATGCTGAATGACGATCACGACCGCTCTGACAAGAGTGATACGAAAAAGGAGAAAGGAGATACTTAATTAAAACTACTTTTCGAGTGTAATATCGTGTTTTTTACTGTCATTACATTATTCCCAACGTTTAGAGTACTTTACAGTTTTCGTAATCACGGACGACTAAGGTGGTAAGGTGACCAAACAATTTTTTTCACATATTGAAAAGCCCGATACCCACCTATTAAAGAGAGCACTGATCTGGAAAGTGTCCGGAAAAAGAAAGAGAGGCCGCCCTAGAAGAACTTGGCGTCGCTTGGTGGAGCAGGAGCTAGGGGTTTAGGATTTAACGTGGGAGGAGCTAGAACAGACTGCCCAAGACCGATATAAATGGAAAAATTTGATTCGAGCCTTACACCCCAGCAGAGGGTAATAGGAAATAATGATGATGATGATGACCTAATCGTTGGTAGTCTAAGGGACTATTCCAAATTCAGCTTCGTTTGATGCGCTTACGGGCTCAGCCTGAAAGAATTGGGTAATACTAGCCCTAACAAGAGCAGTGCTACGCTGAATCTACTATCGGATCTAGAAGATCTAGCTAGAAACTCAGTGGATTGGGTCTATGGGGGCAATAACAGTTCTCTGTGCTTGCCTTAAGATACAAGTATCTAATGTGTTTCAGGGCGGAGGGCGACGCGAGGGTGGGGAGGCGGCAGGGTGCGGGTGCGGCCGACTTCCGCCCGCGCTGCCGACGCCTTCCCCTCTCCGAGCCCTCGATGATATGCCGCCACCGCTCCTCAGGTATGACCATACAATTCGATAATATGACGCCTTTATTATTTTTTTACTGGCGGTAGGACCTCTTGTCAGTCCGCGCGGGTAGGTACCACCACACTACCTATTTATGCCGTAAAGCAGTAATGCGTTTCGGTTTGAAGGGTGGGGCAGCCGTTGTAACTATACTGAGACCTTAGAACTTATATCTCAAGGTGGGTGGTGTATTTACGTTGTAGATGTATATGGGCTCCTGTAACCACTTAACACTACCACTCGTACACACATCTAAGCTAAAAAAATTAAAAAAAATCTTGAATACTAACTGACAGAAAATCACGAAAGTCCAAAAGTTTTGGTATACTTTGTATTGCATGTAGTAGAAAAGAAATTAATAGGTTGCCTGTAAATACGATTTACGGGCCATAGTTCTACGTGATAACGTCAGTAGTAGAACTATTCAAAGTAGCTGTGACGTCACGCGAGAAGAGAGATAAATGTGTCACAAGACAACACTCGGGCCGATCATGCTTCTCTATCGCTTGTTCCGTGCTCTCGCTTGCACGCTCACGCTCATGCGGAACGTGACACTTTTTCGTGCGTGCAGCCGGTGTTTGTCGATTGATAAGACGTTATCAACGACAAAAATGTTTCTGATAGCACCGATAACTCTAGTCTCTAATATTTCATGTAAAATAGTTGTGATTTGATATGACATATGTATGTAGTTTAACAACTAAGAAAAAACGCGTTAAACAGCAAAACTGACTAAACTAACTAACTATTAATATCATTTGTTTATCGTGTTAATACTAATAAGGATATTAGAGCGAAGTAACAAAATTATTTGTATTGTTATCGGACCTTGATGTGTGTGCAAATTTTTAACTCAATCGGACGACTTGCAGGCCGTAAAATTGAAGTTCAAAGATGCTGTTGCATACAAACAAACAAACAAAGATACCAAGCAAAACAAGCTTGTTAAAACTACCATAGTTTTTGTAGAAATAAATTATAGGGAAATTTAAATAGAAGTATCGGTTCAACACTTCCTGAAGTATGCTTGACCACGCATCGGACACAAATTACCGAACAATGGAAACACCGAAGACTGATTCATATAAGACTTCAAGATAAACGTCATAAGTAATAATAAACTGTATTCGAAGGACGTAAAGTACAATTTCCTTATTACTTATTTTCTAATGGACTTCGGTAAGGTCTTTGACTTTGAAGATATTATGCATGACGCGTACGAATTAAGATATTTATCACAAAGCAAACGAGAAACGCAATATATTCATTTTGCAGTAATAATGCAATAATAAATTATGATTACGTAAAGAAATAACTTGAGGTTTTTGTTATTGTTGAGGCTGGTTTTAAGGTCATAGGTTTTCCCGAAGAAGTCGTCGTGGCCTAAAGGATAAGACGTCCGGTGCATTCGTGTTGAGCGATGCACCGGTGTTCGAATCTCGCAGGCGGGTACCAATTTTTCTAATGAAATATGTACTTCACAAATGTTCACGATTGACTTCCACGGTGAAGGAATAATATCGTGTAATAAAAATCAAACCTGCAAACTTATAATTTACGTAATTACTGGTGGTAGGACCTCTTGTGAGTCCGCGCGAGTAGGTACCACCGCCCTGCTTGTTTCTGCCGTGGAGCAGTAATGCGTTTCGGTTTGAAGGGTGGGCCAGCCGTTGTCACGATACTTGAGACCTTAGAACTTATATCTCAAGGTGGGTGGCGCATTTACGTTGTAGATGTCTATGGGCTCCAGTAACCACTTAGCACCAGGTGGGCTGTGAGCTCGTCCACCCATCTAAGCAATAAAAAAAAAAACCGGCAAATTAGGGTTGCTTAATTACCCAGACTGTATTCTACTTAATTTTCTTTTGTTTCAATCAAAATCCTTTTTCTGTGTGCTTAGTGCGAGTTTTCTAACGTTTTCGATAGCGTAAAAGTTAACTCAAATTTGTATGGAGATGAAACGTTTGGCTTCGTTTTTCGCTAGGGGCATTATTTCAACTGCATACAAATTTGAGTTAACTTTTACGCTATCGAGAACGTTAAAAAAACTCACACTGAGTACACAGTCCGGCTGTTTGTTTGAATTGCAATTTTATAACTACGACAAGACACGTTACATGTAATGAAAAACATTTTGATTTTGCCGTCTTCGTACCGAATTAAGTTTTTTCAATTAATTATTGTTTCCCTAGTCGTTTTTTGTTGAGTCGAACAACGACAATAATTCTTGCAGAGCTCGTATTTAATAAATGAATGAATGAATGAATGACTGAATGAATGAATGAATGAATGAAAATTCTTTATTGCATAAAATAGTGTACAAAGACGAACTTAACACCATGCAGGCATTCTCTTCCAACCTCGTTAACCCTCGTTGATGAAGTGAAAGATTCAAGAAATACGTAGCTGTGATGAAGTTAATACATGGCGATAATTTAAAGAATTACAGTAGACATGAGTAAAATGAACATTACGCTATAAATTACATTGCCAAACAAATACATAGATACATACATACAAATACATAAAAAAGATACATAGATAAGAAATACATATCAAATAAAATCACTACATAGTATAAAACAACGTCCCTATATCTGCCTGTACCTATGTATCCTTAAATCTTTAAAACTACGCAACGGATTTTGATGCGGTTATTTTTAATAGATAGAGTGATTGAAGAGGAAGGTTTATATGTTTAATAACATCCATTAAATAGTGGAGAAATCAATAATAAATTACAGTTTCCGAACTGAAGTGAGGGAGGGTCGCTAGTAAATTATATAAGCCACAACATTTAATCTACAGGTCCAATCCACTGTATATGGAGGAAGAAGAACAGGAGGTAGTCATAATTGTGGATTCCCTGGAAGAAAGCGTGGGTTCAGCAGAGCACAGTCCGAAGCGAGTGCCGTCTACATCATCAGGTTATTTTTTTCATTGTGTATATATGTCGGATCGCCTTCACATTCGTTTTTCCTGTACGAGTAGCGCCATCTGTCATCAAATAGCACATTTTTATTTGTACCAAGCGTCAGCGCGTAAACAATATGTTTATGATTTTTAAATATAATTCTATTCGATTCTATTTCTGCTGCACATTATTTAAATAAAAAAGTATTAATAGAGTATTTTAAAAAAATTACTGCAGAAAGACTGTCCTTTAAAACGACATAAGTTGAGATAGAAATAATCAAGAGACGCTTACCCCATCTGAGCCCACAATGCGCCCTACAATTAATTCAAAGCTTAAACTTTCCTATGTTGTTTGCTAAAAATATCAATCTTAATTCTTGAAACCATGGCTTGCTTTGAAAACTGAAAACAGTGCGCTTAACGCGCGTTAAGTTTTTAACGTTCTCGATAGCGTTAAAGTAAACTAATTTGTATACAGTTGTTACAGCGCCCCTAGCGGCAAACGTAGGCAAGCTTTCCAACTCAAATTTGAGTTAACTTTTACGTTATCGAGAACGTTAAAGAACTCGCACTAAGCACACAGCAAACGACATCTTAATGGTCAGTTACTGTCGCTCGTGGACCTCAGTGATTTCAGGAAACCGACTACCAGACGGAACGCATAGTTCATAGCAGACGTTACTTGTATAACTTATAAAATTTGAGCATTACTTCCTCCCAACGATTGGATATTACGAAGCAGTTTTAAAAGCGTTGATTTAGCTTGTATCTGGACAGGGTATGGGAGCGGCGTCGGCAGCCACGGGCGCGTCTCTCCAAGCTTACCAAAGAACGAACCATTCGAAACAGAGCCGCGCGCTTCCGACTCTGACAAGAACGATGGATCTCACAACTGCTCGGATTCCGAAGCCAGTCCGGGCTGCACCCTCTCGAGGAGCTTGAAGAATGATATTCGATCTTGCCTAGGGGCCTGCAGGTACGCATCAAAATATATCACATATTCAAGTTTAGAAATTACTCTTGAAAAATCTATCTTCTCTATATATAAAAATGAATTGCTGTTCGTTAGTCTCGCTAAAACTCGAGAACGGATGTACAGAATTGGCTTATTTTCGTCTTTAATTATTTGTGGAAGTCCAGAGAAGGTTTAAAAGGTAGATAAATATGAAAAAGCTCGGAATTAAATAAAAATAACAATTTTGTTTTTCCTTTGATGTGTCCCCCGTCGGACGGATTCCTTTTGTTTATTTTATACAAAAGTTTAGGTCTTTTATTTATCGATTGAGGCACTACGAAGTCTGCCGGATCAGCTAGTACTAATATATAGGTATAAATCTACAATGGTTTTTACGATGTTCCGTTATAACTGCTGAATCGTGCATCCGATTGACTTGAAACTTGGTATCCAAGTAGAAAATACATGTACTTAATGGATAGGCTAATATTTATATGAGTGTTGGAGAATCTTTGTCGGGGTGAGAAAGAATACTGTTAATTTTAAATGCCCAGCGAAGCGAACGGGTACAGCTAGTCTTTTAATAGTTTTAATATAATTACAACTTGATAAATCAGTGCAGCTTGATTCAGTGTCTCTTATGTAATTAGTCACGTACAATTCAAGTTTTGAGAGTCGAATTTTTGGTCTTGTAATCAAACTAATATTACAGACACGAAACTATTCATTGTTGTAAATATATGTAGCACAAAAATGCTGTGTCAATAAATATATTAATACGTGAAGCAAAAACTTTGTGCCCCCTTATTCCGAAAATTGCGCGGACGGAGGAGTATGACATTTTCCACACTTATAGTTGAAATAGAGAAGGAGTGCAGAATACTAATATTTAATTATGCATAATAAATACATTAAATCATTAGGAAAAAGATTACACACGCTATCGTGTAATTGGCACACACACACTTACTTATACTCTTTGTTTATTTCAAGCTTTTGTTATTGCTTAAAGTCTGTGGTCAACTTGAGAATAGATTGATTAATATTTCGAAATTTGTTATTATAGAGGTCTACGATAGTTTTTGACAATAGACCCTTAATAACGTTCCAACTTATAATTTAAATTAATTATAGTCGAATTTCGACTGCCTACCGGGCGACCAATAGTTTATAGTAAAACTGTAAGAACTGTTTTAGCTGAGGTTATAAATTCTTAGACCTCTTTGTAGAGCTTCGATTTGCCTATATTTATTAATGTATTTATCTATTATATATTCATTCATTCGTTCATTCATTCACTCATTCATTCATTCATTCATTGATCAATCTACTATTCATTCATTCATTTATTTATTTATCAAGTTGCACCAACAAAGTGATCATCAATACAAAACATTGACAAACTGACAAAAATAAATAAACAATAAATAAACCGTACCGTACCGTCAGATGGGAGAAAGACGTGGGGGAAGTGGTGGAAGCGGCGGTGCGCGGTGCCGGTGGTGTCTCGGCGGCCCGGGCGCGACTACACGCGGCCCTATTGGCGCTCCACGACCCACGACCGCGCGTGCCCAACCGCGGACCGACCCTGCCATACTGCGGGCCTGGAGTACGACCCGGTGACGTCACCATGATGCCCAAGAACACCGAAATGTCCTTACTGGTAAGTGAATGTTTTCCTGCTAATTTCAGTATCAAAATGCTTCCGTCCTGTGGATGAGATGTGAGAAAGCAGTATCGTTCTCTCCCTCCTTACATAACAATGCCGAATCATTGGCAAACAGTAATTCTGTGTTTATGTCTCTGAAAACTTTGAAGATCTCTTAAACCTTCACCTGGGTCCTAAATTTCCTGTAATTTTTTTAGCTCCTCTTTCGGCAACACGATGAACCCAGCACCCGGGTTTTACTGGTCTTTTACTGGTGGTAGGACGTTTTCTGAGTCCGCACGGGTAGGTACCACCAGCCTGCCTATTTCTGCCGTGAAGGTTTGAAGGATGGAGCAGCCATCATACTGTAAAAACTGACACCTTAGAATTCACTTCTCAAGGTAGGTGGCGGCATTTACGTTGTAGATGTCTATGGGCTCCGATAACCACTTAACATCAGGTGGGCCGTGAGCTCGTCCACCCACCTAAGTAATAAAAAAGAAAAATTAGGTCATAGTATTTGTTTCATTTTATTGTGTGGTCTTTAGGTATATTTGTTTGGTTTTCCAAAATAGAGTAACATTTTTGGTCTGAAAGACGAAACTCCGACACCAGACATGTCTATTACAACTATTTAAGAGCAAAAAAAAACTATTAACGCACAAAGTTATATGAAAAATAATGATTTTATTCCGGCAATAAATTAATACATCAAAATGAAATAAAGAAACGATTGAGGACACTCGTTTATAGCTTAAGAGTTTAGATAATAACGCGAGATTGTGATCCACTTATTTTACTTCATTTTGTTTTTCTTATCGTCGCTCATGGAAGATGGCAATGCCAGAGGCAAAGCCAGGCTGCTGCCTGCCGCTAGGTACTCTCCGCAAGCCTTGTTTGAAGAAGACCATGTCATACGGGAAACACTGCGGAGAGGTTTTCGTTTCAAAGCCGTATGGTAAGCGCCAGAAAAGATCTCTGGAAGTGCACTATGGATATGAACGGAGTTGTTTCAGGTAGCGTGGATGAACTCTGCTCTGGTGGTGGGCAGTGTGATAGTATTTATATTACTCTTTTGATTTAAATTCAAAAACAATCGTCGTATTTCTATTGGTTTTTACCTAAGATCGGTATGACTCAAAGATAATTTTCACGAGTATAATTCTTTCAATATAATTCTGACGATTCATGATTGATTCGGATAGTAACGTAAAAAGAAAATCTAATACATATTCAACTTCTATTTTATACATGGCTACTATATACATACTATATCCAAGAGCTTACAGCTAATCATCGCACTGTTGGAATTCACTTGCTCTTTTATTTGCAGCCTAGAAATAAGCACAGCAGTAAATTTGTCAATAAAACTGGTTCTGCTCGTATTTTCACGTTATCCAATCCACGCGTTGCTATTCGGCCGCCAAGCTGCCTTGCCGCAAGCATGATCAGTTGCGACAAACGACGCAGCAATGCAACAAAAACTACTTTCTACAATCGCGTTTATTTTGCGACAGATTAATGCACTGGTTTTGCTTTTGTTTTTCAACCGCGGGCAGCCAAACGCGGTATAGAGCTGCCCACGGGCGCGTAGACCGTGCCGACATGTGGCTGGCCAGAAATGGTGCGTTCACAGTCGAAGATAAATCTCATTGGCGCCAATTAACGATACCGTAATAGTAATAACGTGGGTTGATGATGCCTAATAACAAATTTTCGAAAAGCTTTCCAAAGTCAAAGCAGTATTGCGTCTTGTTAATGTGAATAGATATAAAAAGCTCGACATAAGGAAGATCTTCCACCGAACGTGCGTTAGTTCTCGGTAAAACATGTATCTTTTAGATTTCATGTTTTTGCTTACCACTAATTGTTTAGTTTCGCTTATTTCAGACTAACATTCAATTTAGATCGTTTTCGACAACAGCAAACGGATAATAGACAAAAATATAACTTATAACAAACAACTGATATCTGTCTATATTTTGTTATAAGGAAACAGATAAACGCCATTTCAGCGATATTCCTTTTTTAAAGTTGTGTTATTACGGGCCTGAATTTTTCAGGGCGTAATAGCTCATATCCCGTCAACACTAAATGAACTATTTCATGTTCAACAGCATCATCACTACATAGTATAAAACAAAGTCGCTTTCTCTGTCCCTATATCTGTCCCTATGTATGCTTAAATCTTTAAAACTACGCAACGGATTTTGATGCGGTTATTTTTAATAGATAGACTGATTGAAGAGGAAGGTTTATATGTATAATAACATCCATTAAATAGTGGAGAAATCAATAATAAATTACAGTTTCCGAAGCGAAGCGAGGGCGGATCGCTAGTCATTAATACAAAAAATAGTGTAAATTAAAACTGGGAATTAGATTTATTTAAAAAAAAAAACTCTTACGACTTGTACTCGTCGCCTCTGAACACGATAACTGTAAGCATTCAAAAGGTCTTAAATAATATAAAAACAGTAACAAAGGCGACATAAACCGACTAAAAAAAATAGGTTTAAGCAAATGCTGTCACTTTGCTTAGACAATACCGTCTTTTAAAATATAATATATTATGCGTCGCATTTTCATTTCTCGTCATCAGAGGTGAACGCAACGACTCGATTCGACCCCCAAGCTGCCTTGCCGCGGGCGATGACTCACTGCGTCGAACATCAAGAAATTAGTCATTGCTATTTCATTTACTCACTTTGCCAAATAATACGAGCACAAAGTTACTCATCCCTAGAGATATATTTTGTGCTTCCTTGTCTTTTTTCTTTTTTTTTCTCCCTACCTAAGCTGATAGCCTTGAGAGGCTATTTCAGCGTAACCTTAACTAGTAGGTGAGCTCACGGGGCTCAAACCGGAGTGATGCTAACACTGACCCTAGCAAGAATAGTGCTTCGCAGAATCTACCACGGGATCGGAAACGCGACCCACTGAGAAGATCCGGCGAGAAACTCAGTGGGCTGTGCCNTGACCCTAGCAAGAATAGTGCTTCGCAGAATCTACCACGGGATCGGAAACGCGACCCACTGAGAAGATCCGGCGAGAAACTCAGTGGGCTGTGCCTGAGGGTTAATTTACTCGTCGAGCCCTTCGTCGTAAGCGAATGGTTCGACGAGGATGATGACCGGTGTCATTGTCTGAAAGCCATTGCAGTCTTCAAGCGCACCGTGAAGCGATTGACTGACTCGGTGGTGCTGAAGTTAGTGACCTTGACTGCTGAGCCGAGGGTCATAAGTTCGGTTCCCAAATCGGGTAAAGCTTCGTGTGATGAACAGATAATTTCTCTTTATCTGGATGCTTAATCTATACAAATAAGTACAATTGGAGTGACTGTTTGTAATAATAAAATAATAAATAATAATAGAGTACACTTACCAAAATAACATTTTTTATTTATTTTGTCTGTCTGTCTGTTTGTTCCGGCTAATCTTTGGAACGGCTGGATCGATTTTGACGGGACTTTGACTGATAGGTAGCTGATGATATAAGGAGTAACTTAGGCTACTTTTTTTGGACGAACTTCTCCCCGCGGCGTCACCCGTGGTACGACAACAACCGCGGGTAGCATCGCGGGACTCAGCTAGTATATTAGTATATTTAAACGTATATAAGTTCTTGAGTGGCGACCGCGTATTGGAAGACGTAGTGTGGGTAGGCCTCCCACAAGATGAGCCAACGATCTATTGAGGTTCGCGAGGATCCGCTGGATGCAGGCAGCGCAGGACCGGTCTTTGTGGTGAGGCTTGGGGGAGGCCTATGTCCAGCAGTGGACGTCCATGGGCTAATAAGAAAAAAAAAAGTATGTATATCGGTTTCTGGTTGCCATAGTACAGTCCCCGGTTATTCTTAAGGCTTACATGGTATCTTTAGGGTATTTCCTTCGAAAAGAGCGGTGTAAAGACGATTTCTTACTGTACAACATACTTATTATGTTTATTAGAATGTTGCTTTGAACTCAGTTTTATAACATCGAGTCGAGTTCATTAGTTCATCGATCAATCTTTTTATAAACTTCATACGAACGCCAAAACGTAATAATAAAAATACAAAACAATTTAAACATTAACGGCTTAAAGCGTCACTTAAAGCGTTCCCGTTTCGGAGAGAAGTTCACATCTGACAGGCGAGTAATGCCAATCGATAGATCGAAATCGTTTTACATCGATAATCGATTATCGAGTAACGACAGCAAATTAAGCAATATCAATGCTAAATAAATTAATGTTTAATGTTTTAAAACGAGTCAGATTTGAAGCTTGTTATGTAAAGAGCACTTAGTTAGGGTTGGAATAAATCTTTTTTTTTCTTACTTTCATTAGATTTAATGTTTGTGCGGTAAATTATATATTTTTAGAGCCAATAACGAAACAAAAGAAGAAATGCACTATGTAGAATGGATTTAAATCTTTTTGGTTTGGTAGAATGGATTTTTCCGTGATTACGGTCGAATTTTGATCACTTCTTCTTCTTCTTCTTTTTTTTTTTTTTTTTATGATTGAAAGATTACTGGTGTCCCGGAGGCCTTTCCAGTTTCACCAGGACACGTGGGCGAGCAAAGGCACAGCCAGGAGAGGTGGGATTTGCTAACAGCTACCCGAGCGCCTCCGAAGGAGACCTAACAGCTCAAGAGTAGCTGCTTCGCGAATGAATCTACTACCGGATCGGAATCGCGACCCGCTGAGAAGATCCGGCGAGAAACTCAGCGAGCTGATTCANAGTAGGGTCTCCTGCACTAAAAAGATATCAATTTGATGGTCACGCAAAAAGTCAGAAACCTGATCACGTTGATTTGCGAGACCGTAAGCGTTAAAAAATCCTATCGTTACGGATAGGGGCTTTATTCTACTTATATACGCCATTGATTACCGGCGGAGTGAGGGGAGGACGTACGTATTTAATGACGCATATACGTCGGCGTATTCTTGCACAACGGCGATAAAGTGTTGTGCAGTGGAGGCAGCGCGAATGGCGTCGCCCAAAGCGTTAACGCGCTCAAAGTTGATCGA